CTCTCTGGCTGGGGATGTGAGCAGGAATGGTTCAATCAGGATATAATCGTTTTTAATTAACGTGCGGATCATTTCACAGGCTGATCTCCTTGGAGACCACAGGGAAGATGGTCTTTTAAGATTTTCTTTCCCTCCCCCACCCCCGCTCCCCCCACCAGTCAACCTCCCCCCACCCCACAGCGGCAACCTTGAGAAAAGCACAAAAGCCTGATGTCTGGATCCCTCCTGGGGCCACTAGGAGGAAAGTGCGTGCTCATACCAATACACACATGTGCCGGAGCTGAAGGCACACCCCACTGAATTGTACACACGGGATCAGAGGTTTACAGACATGGACTTGTACTCACACACAGAAACATACAGACTTGCCCAGACACCAAACACACGCGTACACACACACACACACACACACACACACACAGAGAGAGAGAGGGTGCATGGATGCATGTGCCCAAGTCTGGAGGCACACCCCTCCAAAAAAATATACTGACAGGATGAAGGGCACACAGAGATTCCCCATTCGCAGGGACACCCAGAGATGAGCAAATCCATGACATGACACATGCCATGTGGATAAGCACTTACACACCACAGAAACATTCAAACACCCACAGCAGGGGCTCCTCCTAATCTCAAGGGGTAGCATGCTTGCAGGGAAGGGGAAAAAAGGCCAAGCTTGGGTGGGTAGTCAGAGCCACAATCACCGTGCCCCCTACAAGCATGCTTAAGCCCCTGAAGTGGGGATACCCTACTACCTGCCCCATATGTAATCAGTGAACATGGAAGCCACTACCCCAGTCTTGTATGACATCCATTCAGTCTGGGTCCTTCTGACACCTGGATACCTCCCATCTCTGGCCCCCGAACAGCTATTGCACTGAGTACTGCAGAATCCAGCTAGGGAGTCCAGCACCCACCAGCTCTGACACCTCCAATGAGAGGGATGTCCCTTGGCCTCTCCTGGGGATCTTGGGAGAGAAGGGTCTTTCTCAAATCATTGTGCATTTGACCTAAGTCTTTATTCCTCTTTTCCTACTTCCATTTTCTTCCTTTTAAGCTACCATCCCATAATCCTAACCCCTCCTTCTCTTTTGCCTTGTCCCCTCCTCTGCAAGGAGCTTCCAGGGTGAACTGAAGGCCAGATGGAGAATTTACGATGTTTCCTGTCCTTGACCATCCCTCCCCCCCCACCATGCTCTGTATCTGACCTGTTCCAACCCCAGGCTCTGACTCCTGAGCAGATGCTAAGCTCAGCCTCTGGACAAGGAAATAACACCAGACAGAGCCACAGTCACCTCCAGGGTCCCTTGAAATCTGCAGTCATACCTTTCTCATGTACCTGCTTTGGATCCTCTGCTTTTCTTTCTGGAAAATGGGATGGCAAAGAAGAAAGTGAGAGGCCCAACAGGGAGTTCATGGCTGGCCAACCACGGGCTGGTGCTGTTGTCTGGATCCAGGAACAAGGCAGTGTGCACCACACAGATGGGCCTAGAAGCCTGTCTCTGATGCTCCAATGGGGGACACTAGAGGCAGGCTGGATGCTTCTCATTTGGGATCTTGGTTCCTCCATCTGTGAAATGGACACGTTTGGCCCAGATTACCTCTAGGGTCCTTTCTCAGGGGTGAAAACCAAAATGGCAGATCAGCAACTGATCTGGGGCTGCTGTACAGTCCTGCAACTGCTATGTGACCGTGGGGTTCACTTCCCCTCGATGGGCTCTGGTTTTTTCCTCTGTCAAAGGACGGAGGTCAGATAGGTGATTCATCACCAAAGCTTTCAGCTCTGGTGGAAGTTTCCAGATTGTAGGGAAGAAAGAACAGTGTCCCACTTGTCCAGGAAGAAGAACCACAGGAGCCCTTTCCTTCCACTGCAGGCATGTCAGTACAGCCTTCGGCACCAGGAGCATCATATTGAGGAAATCATCTTAAACATCAGAAAAAGCTCTCTGAAGGAAACACATCCACTACATCACTCATCAGGAACATGCAGAACATTGAACAAAAGGGGAATATTAAGTAAATTATGGTACATCCACTTGACTGGAAAAGCCTGGAGACATTAACTGCCATGTTTATGAAGCACTGGTTACAAAACAGGAAAAGGCTGGCGTTGTCACCAGCAAAAAAAGAAAGGAGAGAAGAAAAAAAAAAAAGAAAAAAGCAGGATATACATCTGAATATAGGGGATGACGACAAAGCCTTTAAAAAACCAACCAACCATCAAGTCACACGGGCTGGGGAGAACTCCATCAAAACGCTAGGGTTGTCAGAGCCGTGAAGATTGTCAATAACCTTTTTTGTTTGTTTTTTTCTATTTTTCAGATTTTCTGTGAACCGTACATTAAAATGTACATATTGAAAAGGCTTCAAAACAATGAATAGCTGCCACCAATTGAGAAACTTTTTTCTTTCATTCACTGATTCATTCATTCATTCATTCATTACTAATTCATTCACTTCTGCGTTTGTCCAGTCAAACAGGACATTATGTGTCTGCAATATGTCTGGCCCTAGGAGTTTTTTGGGAACAGTTTTCACTCAAAAGAAATGAAGTCACAGGCAGAGGCAGGGAAAGCAGCCCCACAACTAACGCTACCATCAAGGGGGTTGTGCCATAGGATCAAGGAATGAGCAGCAGTGGGTGCTGTCAGATCTGGCCCTGCCCCCAGGTGCACTATCCAGGCCACCCACAACCGCCAGGATCTCAGTCTCACAGGCCTTCAGGTCAGGCCTTCTGCTGTGGGGGAGGGGAGGGGCCAAGGTTAGAGCCAGAGGCCCTCATATCAGGAGCCTTTCCACTCTGGACAAAGGACAGAAGGGGCTTCCCTCTTCCCTTACCCCAGCCCATATGGCCTCCAGTTTCCAGGGACCATGGCTGGTAACCTCTTTTTCCCTCTGGGCAACAATGATACAGCCTGGCTGTGTGACCTGCTCTAGGCTCTGATTTCCACCTCCTCTAGGGTCCCTAGGAAGTCACCACCCTGCCAAGTCTTGTCCTGCCACAAAGTGGGTTTATAGGGTTTGCAATATGCTCCCCTCTGTCAGCCAGAGTCATGCTGTTAGCATGTCAGGGGACCCAACATCTGTGTCCCTGCTGTGTGGGGTGTGTGTGTGTGTGTATGTATGTGAAAGATTTCTGGGAGATGGTTAACTCTTTCCAATCCCAGACTCAGTGACAGAACAGTCTGGAAACAGTCCAGTCGCCTGTCTTCAAAGGTGCCTCTCTTCTCCCCAGGAAGCCTCTCTTTGGATAGGGAGAAAAATGGCTTTCACCTGCCTGGGCTGCTATCTTGGACCTGGCTCCCTCCCCCACAAAGATAAAGGGTAGGTACTTTTATGCCCCTGGGTAGCTTCCCTGGGAATCCAATTAATTAAGGCTGATTTTCTTGGGCTTCTCCCCCCACCCCCGGGGAGGGGAGCTAGACCAACACCTCTTCCATACTCGCCCTCCTTTGCCACCCCCAAAGGAGCAAAAGGATGGGGGGAGCTTTGAGTGCCAGGAAGGCTTTGATCCAGCAAAGCCCCATTAGGATTGAGCCCCACCCCACCCCAAGACTGTGGTCCCCAGAAATTCTCTGGGCCAGCCCTCCCTTCACATGGTCCCTGTGGGAAAAGAAGTTCCCACCACTCCCCAGCAGCTTTATCTGACCTCCCCCAGGGCCAGGCATCCGGATCTCCGGGTCACCAGAGCGTCCACAACGTCTGCTGTGGATCGCAGGAGACAAACACTTCGTCACATAAGCACATCACCCTCGGGATCACCTCTCTCAGCCCGCAGTGTACTGGAGGGGAGGAGGCTGAGATGAGAAGAGCCCTCGATTTGCCAGAAGGCATTAGCCAATCGCTTTGCCAAAGAGTGGCTAGAATCTAGGACCCCGGGCTGCAAACCCCAGACCCTCGCTTCTCCGCGCAATCCAGCCCCCCCCCCCCGCCCCCGCGCCAACCCACGTCAAAGTCTCCAACCCAAACAGTTCCCTCCCCCGAAGAGGACCCATCCCCTGGCCTGGGGCCTGGGGTCAGCAGCCCCGGGAGAGACTCAGCTACGACCCCCCTCCCCCTCCCGGCGAAGGCACCAAATTTCATTGTCAGCTTGGTCACTCGGCCGCGCGTGAGACCGGGGCCGAGGCCGGAGGGTGGGGGTATTCCAGGGCCAGCTCCCGGCGGGGAGTGGGGAGGGGTCTCCAAGGGAAGTGTTTGAAGCCGTACGGTCCAGATCCGGAAGCCAACTGCGGAGGGAGGAAGGCGGGGGTGGGGAGTGCACGACCTTAAGCGCTGGAAGGCGGCAAGGAGGGGCCACCCGCGGCCGGAGGCAGCGCCCGGAGGCACCGGGGCACCGAGTCCACCGGGAGGCGGCCCTCCCGGGAAGTTTCCCACCGGTGGCCCAGAGCAGGACCGGGTGCACGGGCCGCCCACCACAGCCGGACTAGCTGCAGGCGCAAATGGCGAACTTGAACAGAACTCCTTTCGGCATCCCTCACCTCCCGGGCCGCAGCCAACAGCCCCACCATCTCAGCCCTAAGCTGGTCGCCAGCGACACGGTCGCCAACACCACTCACCAAAGCATTGTGGAGGAAAGGGGAGGGGGGATCCCCAGCACAACCAAACTGCAGTCAGGGGGTTAAAAAAGCAAAGAAATTTCTTCTTCTGAGGCCGATTCCCTCCAACGACGTGCAAAACCCCCAAAACAGGAAAATCTGCAACTCCAGCCAAGATCGCGGCACCGCGGGAGGGGTACACACGGCATACGGTGACCCCCACTGACAGCCCCGGGTTCCGAGCAGGTCTGGGCGCCGCAGCGGGCCGGGGACTCGGAGAGCCCTCGCGCTGGGAATGGCCCGCCGAGGATACAAAGCTCGGCCGCCAACAATACCTGCGGGCTCCTCCTGGGTCTCCGGGGCGCCGACGCTGCGCGTCTCGCAGTCTCGCTTTCCCCGCCGTCTCCGTCCTCCTTGCGCGCGCGCGCTCTCCCCCTGGCCTCTTCCAGAACGCGGCGGCCAGATGAGATCTTTGGGAGAAAAAAAAAATGTAAGCGCTCGCACGATTCCTTTCTCTCCGCCCGCCGCTCGTGGCGGCCCTGGGCTCGCTCCTTTTCCTCGCGCTCCCGTGCGCGCCGCGCCTCTCGCGCCCCGCGTTTCCTTCTCAGCAGTCCCTGCAAGCGCCCTCAGTAGCCATTATTCACGGGCCACCGGGGGACAGGAGGTAATTAGAGACGGCCCGGTGGCCGCATCCACTCTGCGAGCGCGATGTGGGCGCGGGGCGCGCGCGGGGAGGGGCGCGCGACGAGGGGGTTTGGCTGCGCGCAGCCCGCGCCCCAGACGCGGGGGAGGGGAGGAAAAGGAGGAGGGGGCAGGGAAGGAGGAGGCGGGGAAGGAGTGGTGAGCCAGCTAAGGGAGCGGGAGGAGGGGGCGCCTGGAGACGCTCCCACGGCTCTCACCGCTGGGGCTCGGGGTCACCGGCTTCAGGCTTCCAGGCGCTTAGGGACGGATGGGGGTGGGGTGGGGTGAGTGTGGGAGAGCGCGCGCTCGCCAAACATAGAAGGCGGAGAGGGCGCATTAATATGTTTCAAGTGACTTATAAGCCCTCGCGGGTGAGCTTTCGGCTGTGTGTTTAGGTCCGTGTAACAATGTGGCTATATATTTCTGATTTGCCCTACGTGTGAAAGTCACGGGGCTGGTGGAGGTACCAGCTTGTGAATGTGCTTTTGGGTCTCGGCGGGACTGAATGACGCGGTGCCTGCGTGGGGTGGTGTGTTTGTCTGCGATTGTTTATAGGGGGTAGTGTGACTGCGTGGGTGGGACTGCGCTTGTGTGGGATTGTGTGTGTGTGTGTGTGTACATGGGATCGTGCCTGCGTGGGGTTGAGGGTTCATGGGCGTTGTGTGCCCGTGCGAGCTTGTTTGCGAGTGGATTAGCGGTCGCGCGGGTCTGGGGGGCTGCTCATGGAAGACCAGCGCGCTTGTGCAGGGTCGTGCGCTGGGCAGAAGCAGTGGTCTGGTAGCAGCCGGCCTCTGTATTCTGAGTGTGGGGCCAAGGCCCGGCGGGTGATGGCTAGCGCTCTTGGCGTTGGGGTAGCAACACCGCACGTGAGCCGCTTAAGGCAAGAACAGGCAGCTCTAGGGTCGGGGCACAGTGACGCGTTAGGTGGTAGGGATGGGAATGGAAAAGGCAGAGAAGGAGCCTTTCATTCCGTGCCTCCCTTTGATGCACCAGAGACGCAGCTTGGAGATCCTGCCACTTGCTGGCCTCGCGGTCCTAGAGGCACTGGGTTTGGGGAACCTGCTGGGCTCACCGAGATGGCTATGGACAGGAGTGGGCAGCGGGACCGACATTCAGAGATCCTGGACCAGCCCAGAGCGACGAGGATCACCCGGAGAAGGGGGGTCATGGCCCAGAAACAGCTGTGGACTAGGCTGAGACAAAGAGCCGGGCTAGGGGATTTGAGGCTGGACCACAGCGGAGGTGCGTCTGGCCGACACGCTAAGGACTGGTGCGTGAAACCCGGGGACAGCGGCGAGGCTACCGTTCTCCTCAGCCCAGGGAGCCGCTTTGCAGGCCTGGGGGCACGTTATTACGCCTCCCCCCAACCCGCAGGCCGGGGCAAGGGGTTCTGAGCGAGCTCAGCTGGTGGCACTGAGCCCTCGGCTGTGATTGCACGGTCTGCTGGCCCGCCCCTTTCCAGGCCGCTCATCGCCCACGCAGCCATTCATTCATCCATCCAGTCCCTATCCAACCATTTTTCCATTCGTCCAAGTGTCCTTCCATCCACCTGCTTATCCGTGCTTATCCCTGCTCCCTGAATGTCCAGCAGGTCAGTCTCTTGTTTTGCTCTCCTAGACCGCACCCCCCAATCGTGTTTTTCCGCTTCAGCTACTGTCCCTCTGGCTCATAAAGGAGAAGCTCACACAGGACCCCTCACACTTGAAATTTGCTGCTCAGCGATGGATGATACCCTGACCCCTCACTTCATCTTCTAAGCTCCCTCCTCACCCTTTTAAAGTCCTAATACATCCTACACCCCACCCACCCGTTTTATAATTGCATACTAGGTGGGCATGGCATGCTTTCTCTCTCTGGTCCTCCCTGAAGCCTGGAGGCACCTTCTTTGTGAGGGCAGGCACAGGCTTCATTCCCCTGCAGAGTGCACCTCCGCACAGTCCCTCTGTCCTGGGCAGGGGGTGCCTCTTAAGTCCTTTACAGCACAGGGGCACTACCAGTACCCTGGTGGCTTGAAAGACACTCCCAAACCTGCCACTGGTATATTGCCAACTGGGAAACTAAAGAAATAGCTTCCCTGATAGGCACTGTGGTACATGCTTGTAATTCTAATACCTGGGAGGCTGGGGCAGGTGGATTGATCAATCAAGATGGAGGCCATCCTGAGCTACACTATGAGTTCAAGGCCAGCCTGAATTACAGAGTGAGACATTGTCTCAAAAATTAAATAAATACATCATCCCAGACCTAATCAATTTGAATGTCCAGAGCATTTGCACAGGCTGTTCCCTCAGCCTAGAAATCAGCGTTTGTACAGTGAGGCTTAGAGACCACGACCGTGGTACATCTACAGTCCCCCAGGTTCCTTAAGACCACCACCTAAAGGGCTAACCTTTCTATCAGAAATGAATCCCTAAGGCTCAAGTAGCCCCAGCTCCTTGCTGGACTCCACTTGCTGTCTTTAAAATGAGGGGCTGCTCAGCATCATTCTTTAATGCCAGGGTCACTCAGAACTGAGGATGTGGGGTGAACCAGTAGTCAGGCCTCCGAGCATTACTAAGCCTGGCAACAAAGAAGCCCAAATTACTTCCGAGCACCATCACTCTAACCATAGATAGATCCTTAACTGCTGGCACATCCCAACAGCCCCTTCCTTGTGCCCCTTCTCCCAGAGGACAGGGACAGGCTTCCCTCTCCTTGCTTCCAGAGTGACCAAAATCCTCCCAACCAGGTCCCTTGCTCTGAGATGACCGAGCTCTCTCTTGAACGGTGCCCTATGGTTTAGTTTTATGAATTTTGTAGGTATTTTTGTCTGTGTTTCTCCTTGGAGCATCCTTCATAGCTGGGTGGTACCCGGTCCATGTTCCATGAGTATTTGCTGAATGAGTGAGTGAGGATGAACCATCTCCTCTACCTGTGAGTCTAACCCAGCCCAGGTTCCCTCTTCAAAATGAGAGTCTCTGTGTGAAAAACAATAGGAAGGGAGAGTGGAGGACCTCGGCTAGGGCAGGCTGCATGACTTCACCCAAGTCACTCAGTGAATGCCCTTCATGATTCTGAGGACACGTACTAGGGTCTAGGTGGGTGAGATGGTGGTGGGGGCTTGTCCCAGAGGAGAGCAGAGACTTCCGTCTGCCCCAAGGGATTCTCCTGAGATTCCTGGAACACCCCGCCCCCCGGCGGGGGGCACTGCTGTGGCAGAAGGCTGTGATAACATTAGCCACAGGTAGATGGACACCTTACCTGGTGATGGCCCTCAGTAAGCATTATTATTAGGCATGCTTTCTGGAACTCTCCTTAGTAATGGTCAAAATCTGCCCATCTCAGAGGGAAAACCCAGGCTTTGAAAGGGCAAAGAGCTTGCCAAGGGCATGCAGCAAGACATCCTATTCCAACTGACTAGAAGGTTCAAGAGAGGGCTTGCTCTCATTTCTGCCCAGCACAGTGCCTGCTCTGCAGTAGTAGCCACTCACCATGTATTTATTAAATGAATCGGGGGAGCAGTGGTACCAACATTCACACATAAATGAGCTTGGTCCCCTTACCATTGGGGTTGTCCCAACAGACCCTACTGGCAGGATCATGTGAAGTCATCATGTGGTACTGGGCATACAGCACAAGTGACATGACTGTCAAGGGAATGACCAGCAGAGGAGGCTGGCAGGCTTCCCTTTCCCCCAGGACCTGTCCTGGCCCAGAGGAGGCGGAGAGTTCAGTGTGGTGCTATGGCTGCTTACTGGCTTCAAACCCCGGATGCTTCCAGGTGAAGTGTGGCTGTGCACAGGAGGCCTTGCCAAGTGTACCTTTTGTTTTCCTGGAGCTATTCGAATAAATATCTGCTTTCATGCAAACTGTGTCCACCGAGGAAGAGGCTGGGGACTTCAGGGAGGGGACAAGCCATGGAGACTGCCAAGGACAAGGTTCACCAATGCCTACTAGGGACAGGTTAACTAAAGACCACCAGATGGGTTCAGGTGAGTATTACTGAGACCCAAACCAAGTTCAGATTCAGCCCTGGGCTGTCAGTCTCAGGCTGAAGTCTGCAGGCCTGGGGTTAGAGATGAGCCACTGTTCCCCCCACCCTTTTTTCTGTTTTGGGGCTGAGGGACATAAAACTAGGTGACTGAGGTCCAGACAATGAGCTTGCTAAGGTCACACACTTGAGTGTAGCAGAAATCTTCACCCACTGGTTTGGTAAATATTTACTGAGTACCTACTGTGACTGTTCTCTGTGTTGAGAATTCAGAGCAAGGAGCAAGACAAGACTTCCATTTTAGTCCCAAGACAGACAAAAGCCAGAATGAATAAATGACGTATAGTCACGTGACCTGCTCTGAGAAACACATTGCTGGGCAATTTTATTATTGTGCAAATACTATAGAATGTCCTTATGCAAATGAAGACAGCTACAAATAACACTAGGACATATAATCTTATGGAACCACTGTGGTATATGGGGTCCATCACTGGCCAAAATGTTATGTCATACGTGACTATAGTACGTTCCATTTAAGTGAGGCATGTTACCGAAAGATAAAGCTGGGATAGGGTCAGAGAAAAACAGGGAAAGGGTTTACACTGGATGGTCAGAGAACAATACTTGATATCAGTGTTGAAAGACTAGGTAGTGAGGCATGGAATACCTACGGGGAAAGGTGAGCAGGTAGGACCAGCAAGTGCAAAGGCCCTGAGGCAGGACCCAGGCTTGTGGCTGGAATGGAATGAGCAATATGGCCGGAATACATCGAAGCAGAGAAAGAAAAGGGGTCACATTGTTCTCTGCAGTATTTGGAGCAAAGGTAGATCATCTTCTCTTAGGTCCTCATAGTACCCCTAACTGCCACAATAAGAATGAATGTGTGATTCCGACAGAAGCAGGTAAGCCAGTGAGGTGGCCCTGCAGTGGGCTATTTGGCAGGTAAGGAGGAGCAGACATACCTGGCCTGAGTAACTCACTGGGAGGGTATAGCTGCTACTCCTCACCATTCAAACCCTGGGGAGGTGGACAGCAAGGGTTTTGAAGGGACAGCCCCTTATCCCTCAACCCTCAACTTGTTCATGACCTTTATGTCAGTTGGTCAACTGCCCAAGGGACCCCATTTTTTACTGAGTGTGGTGGGAACCGTGCTCTCTGTTGGTTCAGTTATATCTCCCACCTGCTAGATCCCTAATTTATGTGCAGCCAGTCTGGTAGGGGCTGCCAGCCCTCCTTTTCTGTAGGCTCTGGTTTGGTCTCCCAGACCAGTGAAGCTAATCTGTTGCACAAAACCCCTCAGGTGCATGTTTCCGGAGCACCCCACTGTATGTTGGTTGAGGCTCTGGGGCAGCAGTGAACAAGCAGTCTCTTGCCTTGCGGGACTAGCCTGGGCATTCAACGATTACAGTCTTGTGCCCATTTGTCTTGGTTGCAGCTCTGAAGGAGGTGTGCTACCAACCCTTGAGAAACAGGCTGTCCTTTGAAAGCAAAGAACTTCATACTCCAGCCAGTGGGGCCACCAGGGGCCATAAGAATAGGAATATCCAAGTGCTCTTAAGTTTCTGGAACATTTTCAAATAGCCTTTGTGTCCCCAGCCCCACCCAGGTCCCAGGGGCAGCAATGGAGGGTGGGCAGCGTCTGGGGTGCTCCACAGGGGTTCTGGCCAGGGTCCTAGCAGAAGGGCTGCTCTGGCGTCTACCTCTCCTGCCTGGGGTGTGCTGGGGAGGGGGACATTATCTGCCCTGGGCTAGGGTATACCCAGAATGCTGGTGCTGGGCCAGAAATAGTGATTTTTCTGCTTGCTTTTGATCTGAACAGCCTTTGATCTCCTGTCTGTGGTTTTCCCTGCCATCTGTCTGTCCAGCCTTCTTTACTAGCCTGTGGGAGGCCACAAATGAGCTCAGGGCAGCTCCAGGCTCACACAGGACAGAGGCCAAGTCCAGGGTCCCTCAGCCTCGACTGTGGGACTATGTACACCAGATGTGGGCTACAGGAGGAGGGGCCCTGCTGCACATCTGTGGCTTCACCTGCTTGCATGGTTACCCTGCAGTCTGTCAGTCTCTGTCTCTGTGTGTCTGTCTGTTTCTCTGTCTCTTCCTCCCTCGCTCGCTCCCTCCTCCTCTCTCTCTTCTCTGTTGGTTTTCCACACTAGGTCTTGCTAAGTAGTTCAGGCTGGCCTCGAACTCATTTTATAGCTTAGGCTGGCTTCAAACTCAGCAATTCTGCTTCAGCCTCCCAGTTCTGGGATTACAGGTGTGCTCCACAATACCTAGCTTGGAGTAGCCTTTCTCATGAGTGGTCCAGGCAAGCTTCCGTGTCCACCGGAAGAGGGCTGGAGAGCTGGGAAAGAAGAGAAACCTGAGACAGAGAAAGACAGGAAGAGGAAAGCAGCTGAGGGAGAGAGGAGAAAAGGGGTGATAGATTTACTGGGGGGGTGCCAGAGAGAGAGGTGAGCAGGGGCCTCCTCTGGGCCACTGCCCTGCCCTGCATTCTCTGGCAATCCTCAGTCTGGAAGGCACCTTAATTCCTCGCTGTGACAAGGCACATGGGCCTGGCAGGGAGTCTGTCAGCCACAGCATCAACTCAGCCACATGCCTGCTTAGGGCCCCAGCAGGGCCTATAGGCCCCTTTTTCCAGGGATCAAATGTACTCCATGAAACTGAGGACAGTCTTACGGCTGAGAACTAATCAGTCTTCCAGCCCAGCTATAGACTGACCTCTGACCTCTGCCACAGACTGACCCTTTGCCAAAGCAGCAGCCACATTCTGACCTTTGACCCTAGGCAGTTTTAGCCTCCCCTCTTCTGGCCACAGACTGCCCTCTACCCTGCCATCCATAGACTTCTGACCGCAGACACGGTGGCCAGCCATAGATCTGTGCCCTGTCACATTCTCATCCCGGATGCTGGTGAAGACACTCCTTGGAGATCTTCCCAGGGACACATTCCACCAGGCCTCCAGGGACCATGCGAGAAGGCCAGAAGAATCCCAGCACAGCACCATCCCCGCCCCCTTGTGGCCCACATAGAGGCCACAGAACCAAGGAGCCTGATGCTGTTACCACCTTCCCAGGACGGAATTCAGCCACAGCAGGTGGGGGGCAAGCTGGGGCCAAGGCTGGCCCACTGACCTGCTCCAGACTGGGCAGGCAACCAGACACACGTGGATACACTCAGAACAAAACATATCCAGCCAGGCTCCAGTATGCATGCACACATCCACAGCACAGGCCTGACTCCACACCACAAATCACAGGCCTCAGACACGTACCTAAACACAACCAGACATGTACACATGGGCGGGCCCCTGGGACAGCTGCTTCTCCTCATCCAAAGTCACTGACCCCAGGTACCCAGGAATGAATGATGACAATTCCTCCTCCTCCTCCCTCTTTCCTTCCCCTTCCCTCCTCGTCTTCTTTCTCCTTCTTCCAAGAGGAATCAAGGTAACTTAGGAGACCAGACGAGGACACCAGGCCCAAGTCCTGCCCGTGCCTCTGAGGGGCCTGAGGGCAGCCGCAGCCATTCTTACAGCTCTGGTGGCTTCTGTCTGCTCCTTGGAAGGGGATGCAGGGAAGACAGACCACTACTTGCTCCCCCATTCGTCTTACAGAGAGGGCTGATGAGGCCTGAGGCCCGGCCACATACTGCTGAGGTATCTCCTGCCTTCACACATCTTTTGTTCCCCATTCCTGGCAGCCTCACAGACTGGGGTCCCTAAGTTCGGGTGTCTCTGGGAGGCTCCACCAATTGAGTGACCTCTCCAGCTCAGCTTGCATTTCCACATGCCTCTTCCCTCCCTGGATGTGTGGCAGCAGGATGCTGCCCCTGGGCCTCTCCTGGCCCCAGGCAGGGACCCTAGAGTCTGACTTTATTAAGTGGCAGCTGCAGCCCCTGCCTGGCTCCACACTGGTGATGATGTGCCCTTTAGCACAACTTAGTCAACTCCATCTTGCTAAGGGAGACCCAGGACCCTGCCTCAATTTGTAATCTGCAAAATTACACAAGACCATGTTGCCCATATATGTTCACTCTGACCCCAGGCGGTTCAGTCCAACCAGGCCACAGGATATGGAGCCTATTACCAGAATGACTAAGGTCACTGAGCCCCTCTAAGCCTCCACATTTCTATCTGTGAGCGTGAGAGCTCAATCCCTTCAGCTCCATGGTGAGGTGGGGTGTTGGCAAGAATGCTGGGGGGAGCCAGCAGGCTGCTCAGAGCTGTACCTCTGTTCTCCTGGGGGAATGGCAAGTTGGGGCACCATGCAATGGAAAACGGGAGTCTACTGAGATCACTTCTGGAAGAATGGCGAGGAGACTGCTGATCAGAACTAACCCTTGGGCTGAGTGTGATGACCAGGCCTATAATACAAGGACTCTGGAAGGTTGAGGCAGGGGGATCACAGTTTCAGGCTCAGACTGGGTAATTGAGTGAGACCCTGTCTCAAAATGTTGTAAAAAGGCTGGAGACAGATCAGTGATAGAATGCTCCCTTAGCTTGTACAAGGTTCTGGGTTCAATCACCAACACCACAAAAAAGCAAAATTAAATTTGGACCTTAGAGGTCGGAGGTGGGAGGAACACTCACTGTCTGGCTATGTGAGTTTCCACTGCGTATGTGCAGCGCTGATGGTGACTACCGTTCCAGAGCTTTCCTGCCCTGTTTGGCTTATCCCAGACTCCTCTGGTGGGAACAGGTGACTGCTAGGGAAGGAGGCAACTAGTACAGCAGCCCTTTGGGGCAAGTGTCTGTAGCCCACTTGACAGACATGGAAACTGAGGCTCGCAGAGTAGAGAGGGGCACAGGCCTGGTTACTCTGTAGAGTTTGAGCCACTGCCCTAAAGACCCTAAAAGTTTCCTGACTTGGAAGGGTG